TACATTTTTGTGACATTGGAAGCTGTTACTGGCATTGACGATGATATTAGGGGTGAATTATTCTCTTCTAGTATCATAGTAATCGATTGTTGTTGATCAATGAGACATGCAAATAAACTATAATTTAATAACTGATTAGCTGTTGGACGATCAAACGGATAACATGCAAAACAAGCATCTATAACTGCAAAAAGATCAGTAGATAAATCTTTTGGATATGTAGGCGGTGCATTGGAAGTAGCAATCTAGACAGCATACAAAAATATACATATATATCTGTATAACGTACAACACTAGTTAATATGATAAAACAAAGCTGAACTTCATAGTTCAATTAATTAGAAAAGACAATCAGTAATCTGATGGTTGATTCTGACAATAAAACATTCCCATTCATTAACAGTTGTGCATTGATGGATGAAACTGATTCAGAAATTATTTTGTTCATTACTGTTTAAGTATATTTTTCATTAGAATTCTTGTGAACCGGTCACTCTCTTTAGTTAGTTGTAAAAGTACTGCTGCAGTGCAGAAGTGATTTAAGAATTTGATGATTGCTTGTTTACTAGCAAATTATCCATCACAGTTAATGAATGAGAGTCGCTCGTGAACTTATCGGAGCTAGACATTGACACTGTTGATTACCAAGTTGAATGGCAAAGAAGTTAAAAAATTCGAGTGTACAACTTGTTTTGGGTTCATCTCCCCGATAGGGTCATGGGTTAGCGCCACTTAGAGGCCCATATTAGGATGAAACAGCCATTCGGTGCTTCTGGATTTTTAATGACGGTTTGACTAAGGTCAGTTCATGAATTTAACTATGAAAATTGCACAATCTTTACCAATTATTATTAATATCATCACTAAGTAATGTAATAGACATAATCCATACATACATACACACACCAATGTACACTTACCGTAAACATAAGAGCAAAACGATTTGTTTATCTAGCATCACGCCATGGTGGTTTACTTGTAAGCATTTCTATTAAACAACAAACAACAGACTGAATATCACAAGCTCTACCGTATGTTTCACCTTAAAGCACCAGTAAAAACATTATTTTTTAAAAATATACATCACAATAACATTTGCATTGTTTGACAATATCTATAACCTAGTAATATTAGCAAGAAAAAATAAGCACATTGTTCATCAATTTATTAAAGGGAATCGGAGGAAGACTATAAAATGTATTTGCTAAAGAAAATCAATCTCCTATAAATATCGATCTACAATTCTATCAGTAATATTTACACATTTCTTTACTAATTGATACCATGTTTACATTTATATGGTTGACGAATAATAGACAGTTTAGAATTGAGCATAATATTACTTTGCTAACGGTGTATTTTTATTTCTTTGACAAAATAATCAGTTTTTTTGTAATGATGTCAAAAATGAAAAGCAATTTCGTGCTTTCTCGTCAGTCACATACAAGCAACATGTTATTTGTGTAAATACAGTTTTGAAGATAAGGTCAAAATTTCTTATTTAGCACGAAATGGTACTATCTCACAAAATATGTCTTCTCATTTCTCTGTTCAAATTTATCAAAGACAACCACTGCTTTGAAAAGCGATTTGACAAAAATATTTTAGTCTAAAAATAAAGATTTTATTGGTTCTGCTGTGATTACCTTGTACCATCTCATCATTCATTCATTGTACTTTCGTTTGAATTATTCAACAATTGTATCGACCATATTGTAGTATTAATAAAAATACGATTACAGTATCGATTATTGTATATTTGGTTGTGTGTAGATGTTTTATCACTAATCACTTGTTTGACGTTTTATTGCTTAACTATAAATACTTAGTTATTCTTCAATTCAAGGAGAATTGGCTCACTCGCCTTCTCTAATTCGCTTCATTCTGCTTGTATGCTTCGCTTGTGGTGTTTGTCTGAATGAATGAATGCATGAAATAAATTCATCCGCAACAGCGTCTTTGGCTTCTTACTACCACTGTCGAACAAATGGGATTAGCCTAAGTATAATATACGTAAGTGGAAAGGGAGATTTATTTCATTGAACACTCAATCACACTTCCACATTGGGTCCAGTAGTGAGCTGACAAAAAATTCCACAATGCGCACTTCTTTGGTTACTGCCGATGCCAAGCTCTAATTAAATATGAAGTTGGGCTTGGTGTTGTCAACCCTGTCTCATAGAAATGCAATTCGTAAAAAACAGCTAGGCAGAAAAATTACTTGTTAGTCGGTGGCCTATGTTCTATTGAGTTTAACAGGTATGTGAGTATGTTTGGTTAAAATTAGCAATTTGAAGATGATTTCAGTCAACAATGATGGAGTTTCATTCTCCGAACGGGATGATTTTGCTGTGGATCTTGAATTGTTCTTTGGAACAGTATCATGAACACAAACATCAAGTTCAGATGAAATGTTCGAACTTCTCCATATATTAGTCACAGCTTGTCCTGTTGACTTTATTCTTGAGTAATTGTATTTGATAATAATTCTGACATTATTCGCCTCTTCATTTTGATTGTATCATTGTTCGATGTGTCTAACTTGACATAATATGGACTGTATTGAAGGGACTATCAAGAAATCACAGTTATTGGCTCTACTTATAACTTCTAGCCTAAACTTATCACCAATTTTCCCTAAACATAATGGGTTTTTACAATAACCTTATTATTTCGAAAGCCTAATGATATATCACTTAATCACTGGCCGATATCATGTGAAAATACCAAACATCATTCAAAATTATGCTCTAGCACCACAAAGCGTCAGTCAGTTATAAATTATTACTGAGCGAAAATTCAACTTCTTTTAATAAACAGCCTCAAATATTTTGTTAAATTCCAAGCATAAATAGTTTATATGTATGGATTGTAGCATCTAATCATTCATCCATCGTACTTTAATTTTTAAATTATTCGATTAGCAATAAAACGTCTCGACATTACTTCGCTTATCTTAGTACACACAGACAATAATGGACATATGTTCGAACAGGATTACTTGGAAATACTGGATAGGAGGAACACATGTAACACAAACATCCACCTGCGCTACACATTTTCTCCACAATCCGAAACATCTTCCGGCGCCAAAGATAGGAAGCGAGAGTTAATGGGATACCATCTGAATTGAAATTGTCCAAATAGTGTCCACACGATTAGCTACCTATAGTTTCTCCTCAACGTCAATCAATTAGCGAAGTTGCTTGATTCATCGGTACTTATTTGTTTACGATGTCATCTACAAGCTGATCTGGATGAGTTAATTCAATGGTCCGATTGTTGGGGCTTAGAAATATTCTATTGTGAGCGTGATAAAACACACCGGATAGGGTGTTAGTTATCAACATACTATGTGTCGACGGTATATCACTAATATGTGTGAGTGAACAAAAGACTTATGAGTTATAAAAGTTTATGATTTAGGATGCAACTGCACATTATAATGTAACAGTCGACATATATTTTCGTGCGCTGTGATCACTTCTTCAAGCATTCAAATGCTTTGACAAGCAAAGGTTCAGGGACATAAACCTCATCTGGTTGAGACTGCTTAGAGTATTTCTGCCAAGCAGCTGCGTCATGTCATAACTAACAAGGATGGAGCACCTGACGCGTCTTTTCGAACCGCCTTGTGATGAGCGCATTAAAACCCTAAACTCTATATCATATCGTAAGACGCAGAATTATCCTACTGAAGCATTCCGTATCTTGAATCACGATCTGTATGTTATCGCGTCTTATATTTTCGCTGCCTTCAAAAATAATCATCTCCTAGGTTCCTGTGAGAATGTTCAAAAACCGCAGTCAACTCGGATTCAGAATAGGATTTCTTTGTTTCATTTGGACTAGTCAAAGGAGGGAACCCTTTATTGACAAAAGGGGTACCACTTGCATGAGTGAACTCTACCACTAAGAAATTAGATCTTCAATGGAAAACAATCTGCAAGAATCAACATCACAGGTCGATCTAACTACTATCCTTAATCTTAAAAATGAATATATATGCGCTTACACAAACAAGTTCGATATTCAGCAATAAATAGTATACAATATTGAATATTTGTTTTTATGAAATGATAAATAATCATTTTGTACACCTGTTACTGTAAGCAAATTATATATATCCATACACAGGAAAGTAAACAATTATATACTTTTGAAATAATAATAACAATTAAAAAAAATTCAATTTATTATTAAAAATGTTCACTTACTATTCAAGATGTACATGTTTCATTCAATTTATGAAAATGGTATCCCTGACAAAATAATCTATATTTCTACACACATGGAATAACACTTTAAGTCATTTACTCGTTATTATAATTAAAAAGATGAAAAATTAACGCATGTAGTTTTTGAACGAAATTTTTTACGGAGATATAATCCAGTTAAAGTTGGTCATCATCGTTTTATTCGTCTATTCACTAGTGTTACGTCCAATTTTTCGCTCTTTGTTCCTTAGAAGTACTGTATGCCGATCTGTTTGCAATTAACGATCCTAAATCAAAGCAAAACCAAATTTCAAAGTTAAGTACCAAAGTTTATTCTTAATTCACAATAATCGACCAAAATGTAGTTCATTTATTACAAAAAGACGACCAATGTCGTTCTAACAACAATAGTTATAATAATTACAATTAACTTCTATTTTATAGATTCCTGGAGCGAAAAACTGCAAACGAACAACCAAGACAAACAAGAGTCCAAAATGGTCCAAAATAATAATTCAAACAAGTTCATAAGTTAAGTAAAACAAATATACCCAAAAAATAGTGAAATTAATGATATTTATATAAAGGTTTCAATCAGCCAAATGTCTTCATTTTTCTCGTAACAACTAGTCCACTATCATCAAAATATTGATTTTGTTGTTGTTTTAAGCAATATTTATCAGCATAATGTTGCCTATATGTCGTTTGTTTAGATAAAGTCAAAATTTTTCTATCATTCCTGAAGCTGCCAGGATCACCATCATCATCATTATTATTGTTGTATTAATTTTGTTCATTTTCAACTTCTCCAACTACAACCATCTTTTTATGATTCACAGAAGAATTAATTTTATTCCATCGAAATATTTTCAATAATTTTTGATCTTTGAATGAAGATTTTCTATTGTATTTCATTAAGTTCAGTTGACATTTCAACGATTTATCAATGTTTTCATACATTTTTGTGACACTGAAAGCTGTTGCTGGCATTGATGATGATATAAGTAGTGGATTATTCTCTTCTAAACACATAGTATTCAATTGTTGTTGATCAATAAGACATGCAAATACAGTATAATTTAATAATTGATTAACTGTTGGACGACCAAATGGATTACGTGCAAAACCAGCATCTATGACTGCAAAAAGATCAGTAGATAAATCTTTTGGATATGTTAGTGGTGCATTGGAAGTCACAATCTAGACAGCATACAAAAATATACATATATATTTCTGTATAAATCTATCTATAATGTACAACACCAGTTAATATGATAAAACAAAGCTAAAATTTTCAGTCCATTTAATTAGAAAAGACAATCAGTAGTCTAATGGTTAATTCTGACAATAAACAATCCCATTCATTAACAGTTGTGTATTGATGGATGAAATTAATTTGGAAATTATTTTGTTCATTACTGTTAAAGTATATTTTTCATTTGAATTCTTGTGAACTGGCCACTCTCTTCAGTTATTTGTGAAAGTACTGTTATATTACAGAAGTGATCTAAGAATTTTATGATTACCTGTTTACTAGCAAATTTAGATGCAAAATGATGTGAAACAAACACGAGTATTATCAACAACTGGATAAGTGGTTCATTGAAACGTTACAGAAATGTCAGAAATTAAAATTAAGAGAGCAGTTTACACATCAAAGCAAACAGCCTACAGTCTTGAAATTTGTTTTATCTAGCTCACTCACATACATACGCAGATAGACAAAATGAAACAAACAACTAACACAGGCATACACATTATTCTTCTATCCTAATGATTTCACTAATTATTTTTTTAAAAACGACATATACGAATAGAACTTTTAACTAGGTTAAATATGAATTTTAAGCGTTTGAATATCATACCAAATCTATTGTTATTGTTACTAATGAGCGTGAGGAAATTTTCCATTACACGTAATGAATGAGAGTTGCAAGTGAATTAATCGAAGCTAGACACTGACATTGTTGAATGTCAAGCCGAATGAGAAAGAAGTCAAGAATTCGAGTGCGGAACTAGTTTTCGGTTCTACTCCCCGATATAGTCGTGGGTTAGCGTGGCTAACAGGCCTAAATTAGGATGAAACGCTCATTTGGTGCTTTTGGGTATTCAATGACGGTTGACCCAAGGTCCGTTCATGAATTTAACTATGAAAATTACACAATCTTTACCAATTAATAATAATGTCTTCACTATGTAATGTAATAAACATAACACATACATGCACATACACCAACGTACACGTACCGTAAACATAAGAGCAAAACGATTTGTTTATCTAGCATCACGCCATTGTGGTTTACTTGTAAGTGAAAACAGTAAAAACATCTTTTTTTAAAATATACATCACAATAACATTTGCATTATTTGACAATATCTATAACCTAGTAATATTAGCCAGAAAAAATAAGCACATTGTTGATCATTTTATTAAAGGGAATCGGAGGAAGACTATAAAATGTATTTACTAAAGAAAATCAATCTCCTATAAATATCAATCTCCTACTTTATCAATAATATTTACATACTTCTTTGCTGATTGATTCCATGTTTACACTAATATGTTGACGAATATTAGACAGTTTAGAATTGAGCATAATATTACTTTGCTAACGGTGTATTTTTATTTCTTTGACAAAATAATCAGTTTTTTTGTAATGATGTCAAAAATGAAAAGCAATTTCGTGCTTTCTCGTCAGTCACATACGAGCAACATGTTATTTGTGTAAATACAGTTTTGAAGATAAGGTCAAAATTTCTTATTTAGCACGAAATGGTACTATCTCACAAAATATGTCTTCTCATTTCTCTGTTCAAATTTATCAAAGACAACCACTGCTTTGAAAAGCAATTTGACAAAAATATTTTAGTCTAAAAATATAGATTTTATTGGTTCTGCTGTGATTACCTTGTACCATCTCATCATTCATTCATTGTACTTTCGTTTGAATTATTCAACAATTGTATCGACCGTAATGTAGTATTGATAAAAATTCGAATACAGTATCGATTATTGTATATTTGGTTGTGTGCAGATATTTTATCACTAATCACTTGTTCGACGTTTTATTGCTTAACTATAAATACTTAGTTATTCTTCAATTCAAGGAGAATTGGCTCACTCGCCTTCTCTAATTCGCTTCATTCTGCTTGTATGCTTCGCTTGTGGTGTTTGTCTGAATGAATGAATGCATGAAATAAATTCATCCGCAACAGCGTCTTTGGCTTCTTACTACCACTGTCGAACAAATGGGATTAGCCTAAGTATAATATACGTAAGTGGAAAGGGAGATTTATTTCATTGAACACTCAATCACACTTCCACATTGGGTCCAGTAGTGAGCTGACAAAAAATTCCACAATGCGCACTTCTTTGGTTACTGCCGATGCCAAGCTCTAATTAAATATGAAGTTGGGCTTGGTGTTGTCAACCCTGTCTCATAGAAATGCAATTCGTAAAAAACAGCTAGGCAGAAAAATTACTTGTTAGTCGGTGGCCTATGTTCTATTGAGTTTAACAGGTATGTGAGTATGTTTGGTTAAAATTAGCAATTTGAAGATGATTTCAGTCAACAATGATGGAGTTTCATTCTCCGAACGGGATGATTTTGCTGTGGATCTTGAATTGTTCTTTGGAACAGTATCATGAACACAAACATCAAGTTCAGATGAAATGTTCGAACTTCTCCATATATTAGTCACAGCTTGTCCTGTTGACTTTATTCTTGAGTAATTGTATTTGATAATAATTCTGACATTATTCGCCTCTTCATTTTGATTGTATCATTGTTCGATGTGTCTAACTTGACATAATATGGACTGTATTGAAGGGACTATCAAGAAATCACAGTTATTGGCTCTACTTATAACTTCTAGCCTAAACTTATCACCAATTTTCCCTAAACATAATGGGTTTTTACAATAACCTTATTATTTCGAAAGCCTAATGATATATCACTTAATCACTGGCCGATATCATGTGAAAATACCAAACATCATTCAAAATTATGCTCTAGCACCACAAAGCGTCAGTCAGTTATAAATTATTACTGAGCGAAAATTCAACTTCTTTTAATAAACAGCCTCAAATATTTTGTTAAATTCCAAGCATAAATAGTTTATATGTATGGATTGTAGCATCTAATCATTCATCCATCGTACTTTAATTTTTAAATTATTCGATAATCGTATCGACCATAATGCTGTACTTATATTAATTCGACTACAGTATCGATTATTGTATTATTGGTTGTGTGTGGATGCTCTATCGCTTATCACATGTCTAGCCTATTATTGCTTGACCATAAATACTTAGAACAACACTTATAAGCGAACAATATTGTTTTCGATTAGATCGTCATCAGGCTTTACTCTAATATACATGAGTATTCATATGAAAATGTTAAACCAATCAAAGTAATTTGAGTGATAATCACAATATGAAAAAGATTACATAACTACATGTAATGGACAAAAGTACAAGTGGATAGTAGAAAGACAGGTGTACTGATAGTAGTAAGAAAATTATAAAATATGATAACTAAATTTTTATCAATAGTAGGTCAAACGTGGATGAATAGACTTCAAATAATCATTAAAAACATCAAAACCATTACGTACTAAGCAAATGCGTCAAAATAAAAATAAAATAAAAAATATAATGTCAGTCGTTAGTTACGTGATTTCCGGCCACGGGAGAGATAGGGAAACTTGTTATCGTATTTTATAGTTTTCTTACTACCCTATCAGTACACCTGTCTTCCTAATATCAACTTGTATTTATGCTTATTATATGTAGTGACGTAATCTCTATTTCATTTCATTGTGATTATCACTCAAATTGCCTTGATTGGTTTAACATTTTCATATAAATATTCATGTATATTAGAGTAAAGCCTGATGATGATCTAATCGAAAACAGCACAATGGGAATCTTTAATGTTATAAATACTTAGCTATTCTTCAGCTCTTGAAGAGTTGGCTTTATCAGTTGAAGCACTTTAATTTGAGGTGACAAACTCTCCTGGTATACGTGGAGTAGTTCCATAAACGAACTTTGCAGAGTAACATCCAGTATCTTGTTTATTTGTTGATATTAAACTGAGCATGACGAATGGAAGCTTGTTGGCACAATCATTTTTGCTGATGCTTTCAGTTGTCAGTCTGATCTCCCTACCATAATTTCGCCATCCGGTGGTCAGATGTTGAACGTATACGTTTAATGCCGAGAACTCCTGTAACTTGTTGGAAGAGGCGACTTTCGAATTGGGCTTCTCTGTCGAATGTAATATTGACAAGCACTCCATAATATGAGATCCAATGTGAGACTAAGGTTTCATCTATGGTCTCTGCAGAAAAATCTTTTGTGCGGACCGCTACAGGCCATCGCGTGAATCTGTCGATTCAGGTCAAAATATAACTGGAATCATTTAAAATTGATAGTGGTCCCACAATATCGATACGTATACGCTGCAATCGGCTATCTGGATGTCTGAAAGAGCCTACTGCGGAGCTTGTGTAACGATGAACTTCAACTTTCTGGCATTTTATGCATGCCTGCGTCCAGTTACGAACATCTCGGTTCATACTTGGCAATACAAAACGTTCGAAGATCTGACTGATCGTGGCCTTAATTCCAGGATGTGATAAATTATGCATAGTTCCGAAAACTTTTCGTCTAAACGGCTTCGTAATTAACGATCGTGGTCAGCCTGTAGAAATATCGTACACTATGTTAACCTTGAAGTTTCGTAGAGTACTAAAGAAGTTGTATTTGATGGTCTTGGTTTGCTTAGCTCAACATCCATATTTTGCAGCGCTGAAAGTTTGTGATAATCAATGTCAGATTGGATGAGAGCATTAAACATCGCTCTTGACAATGCATTTGCCACTTCATTATTATGACCTTTAATATATTGTATGCTAGACGTGCATTTGGAAATAAACTCCGATTGTCGAAATTCTCCTGGTGAATAGTTGTCGCGCTTTTTGTTTAATGCTTTCGTGAGGGGTTTGTGGTCTGCGTACATTGCGAAAACGGTACTCTCAAGCATATGTTGAAAGTGTTTTATTGCCAAATAAATTGCAGACAGTCCTCCTCCGAACGTACTGTATCCCATTTGCGTGGCACCTAATCTATTAGAAAAAAAAGGAATCGGTTCTAATTTGTCGTTTACAAACTGCCGTGACACGGCTGCAAC